CCCCAAAACCCCAAAACCCCAAAACCCCAGCCGGGACGCTTAAGATTGGTCTATTACTAAAATCGTCACTATTTTCTATTGGCGAGGCCAGTACATTTTACAGTCAGAAGGCTGAGATATTAGTCTGGTTGGATGGCTTGGCAATGGGGTTTTAGGGGAGTTTAGAGGGGTAGGGTTGGGTGTAGGGGAGGATGGAGGGGAGGATGGAGTGGGAGGAGACTGGAGAGGGGTGAGGATAGGGTTTAGAGGGGTGGGAAGGGGGTTTGGGGGTGATTGGGGAGATATGAGGGTGAGTGGTGAAGGGATATTTTTTAGGGTTTTTGGTGCTGGTGGGGGTGATTAAGGGAGAGATGAGTACTCTTGACTCTTTGGTCAGGGGTTAGAAGAATGTAGGTGTTTTGGAGCTTTAACAACGTATAACTCGTTCCAAAATATAAAGGCTCATCAGAAGGAATGAATCGAAACTGTGAGGTCCAAGAATGTACATTTTAGCGAAATTTTTGAAAAATTCATGCAAAAAAATTCTAAATTTTACGAAATATTTATGTATAGATTTAACAATTATTCGGATTTATTAGGCAGCTTTCCTTTGAAGGAAATGGTTCTTTCAGTTTTTATAGAATTCGAAGAATTCTGGCTTCGAACCATTTAGAAGAATCAATTCCACTCAGTACTTGTCTTCATCACCCATTTTTAGAATGTTTATTGATGCTTCATTGATGATTTCAGAGGAGTCGGATAATTCCTCGTCTAGATAAGTCAGAATATGTGTGGGTAAGGCTTACCTCCTGAGTCATCTATCCATCTTAGCACCATGTTATACTCTGTACTTGAAAATGTAACGTCTTTTGTGTAATTTTTGACAAATTTTGCAACTCAGTACCATAAGTCATCAATCCTTCTATTGCTGTAAAATTTGGTGTGGGAGGTAAAATCAGGATCGAACTCGATGCACTCTCTATTGAGTTCAACTTCTTCATTTTCGTCATCACTGATCCCAATACCTCGAAAGATGGTTCCTTCAAGGACTGAAGAGTCTTGGTACATCGTGCTAGTTGTAGTCTCTTGGTAAGAGAGTTTGGCATTTTCAGTTTCCTTTTCTTCTTTAATCTCTTTTCTGGCTTTGAACTCTTGAATGATCTCTTCATGACTAGGGACCTCTCCTTCGTACCAAGGGTGAGCTTTGATCTCGGATAGCGAGAATCTTCTTATTGGATGAGGGTCTAAAAGATTTGAGATGAGGCTCTTTATATCATCCGACAAGTAGTCCTCTCCCTTTTCACCTTCTTCTGTCATGAAATGCAAACTCCAAAATTTTGACGGTCTATTGGAATGCAGGTATTTGTAGTAGTAATCTTTCTGCTCTGCACTCTCGAATGGAATCCTACCAGTCACCATTAGGAATAAAACCAAGCCAGCGCCGAATATGTCAACGATTTGGCCATGGTAAGGTTTACAAGCAAGTACTTCTGGAGCCATGAAATTCTTAGTTCCCACAGTTGTCTTGTTCATCAGGATATTCGAAGAAGTTCCAAAATCTGCTATTTTTAGGTTAAAATCTTTATCAAATAGAATGTTCTCAGCCTTGATATCTCTGTGGCTATATCCCTTTGAATGCATATGCTCGAGACCTTCAATGAGCTGATGGAAGAAGAACCTTGCTACCTTTTCTGTGAATGGTTCGGTTAGCATCAAGAAATCAAATAGTTCACCTCCGTGGGCTAGAAAACAGGTTAGACTATAATATTGAAAGTTTTGTCTGTACCAAATTGAAGAGAGCAAAAATAAATCAGCAGCATTTTTAGGAATTTGAGTAAGTATTAGTTTCAATACTAAAGAGTTTCAGGTTCATAGAGATCTTTTAAAAACATGATAGATATCTTGCTTACCTAGTTCAAGTGCGATAAAGTAGACTTCTTTTGATTTTGATGACGTTTTGAGCTCAGAAATTCCTGAATCAAGAATTTTGGTGATATTGATATGTGATAATGACTTGAGAGCTTCAACTTCTGTTTCGATTAGCTCTAGATGGTCAGCAAAATCGTAATTCTGTATGATCTTTATTGCTGCTTTTTCATTTGTTTCGATATGTTTTCCGAAATATACTCTATAAACCATGTTAAACCATTAAAAATTTAGCAGAATATCGATGTCAAAGCCAAAGAATTGCATCTAAATGTTGGCTTACACTCCAAATCCTCCTTTTCCGAGGACCTTGATAAGTTTAAAGTTTCCACAGGTTGGCATTTTTATATCTAATTATTGAATTTTCAAATTGGATCCTCTAATAAGGGGTTTTGGGGTTTTGGGGTTTTGGGGTTTTGGGG